TGGAGTCGAAAAGAATAAAGAAGGAATGGAGATTAATATTTTTCAGAGAAAACCACTTTTAAATTTTCCAAGGGATTTTAGATGAAGACAGAATTATGTTTCGTTGAAATTCCAATTTGTAACACTGATTTTAGGGTTGGTTAAATGTTTATCTTTGTCTCTTGAAATTCAATTCATCTTCCAATTAAAGGGTAAAAGAATTATAAATGCTGCAGCGGTTTTAATAATTTACGGCAAAAAGGGAAATTGTATGACGCCGCGTGGTTTTCGTCTGTTCTGCGAATTTTAACCACACAAACCCTGGAATCACGTGACATAAAGTTTGGTGAACTAAGGAAGATAAGTGTGTACTGTAAAAGAGATATATTTTGATACAACAATTTCTGGCCTTCTATCGAGGGTTTTAATAGAGCTGACTTTGCACAAGTTCATGCTAAGCCCGATGTTGAAACAGAAGAAGTCAACAGTTTTCACAGAGAACGATGAGATATGGAAACATCCCTGCTTGTTGCACTGGAAAAAGTATCACCTTCTGTAGTTAACAATGAGAAGAAATTCAAGATCGTGTTGTCTCAGAAGGCAACTAAATTGACTTCATTTCCTTAAAAATCCGTACTTGAAAAAGCTAAGAAAAACATAGAATCTTAAAAGCGATCCTGACATTTAAAACAGAAACAGCAAAAGAGTTCGAAATGAATATCTAATGTTTCGAACAAATCTTTGTCCTTTGAAATGTGCAAAATAACTTCAGAGGAGAACATTATCCTGACCTGTGAGAAGTGGATTCATAAATACTGCGCCTGGGTAAAAAAAATCTGTTCTGTCTCGGCTGCAAATAAAATTACATGCTTATATCGAATAGTTTAATATATCGAAACAAGATCGATAGTGATCATACTACCATCTCATAAACCAGTTTAGGATAAATATGAATCAGGAGAGAATAAGAAACATTTAAAACTCATAAAAACTATTAAAAACAGAATAAGTACGTAAATTGGGTCTCAACTAGCTCCTTTTTGCTTGTGAATAAGAAGATAATTATTTAGGAGCTAAGAAACAAATCTTATGTTCAAAACAGAGATTCACGTTTTCATATCGTCTGCAGTCTATATGAATTTACATGGACGTTATTAGTGGTAACTCCTTCATAGCACATGTAATTTAGTATAGTTTTCTCTTTAAGCTAGGATAATTCAGAACAACACACGTGGAAACTCTGTGCGGATAAAACCTTTCCAGTTTTTTCTCATATTTAATAAATCTGATAACAGAAATTGTGTTCCTCAACTCTTATATGTTTTCGTTCTACAACAAAACACTGGCATATTTTTATCCCACACAATTTTAAAATGTATCTATTTATAGAACAAAAATACAATTTTCAAGCCTTATATTAAGCAATAATTTGTGACACGAATTCAATTACTTATGACAAGGGCCAAGGAAATGATTAAGAATAGAATTCTGAACTCATAAATATTTTACTTAATCTAAGAAATAGCCTAGCTGAGACAAATCGCGTCACAACCAACCAGGCCAATGAACACGACAGTTCTTTGTTTCAAATTTCGCTGTGCTAATTTTTATATCATTATTTTTCAATACGTTTAATCTGCATAATAAATTGTCTTAAAATTGGTCACGACCCCGTGCTGCTAACAGTCTGTCATTCGTCTCTTCTTACCGTCCGACACTGTATAACATATCAATCACTGAATTTATCACCAACGATCATCAGTTTTGTGGTGAACGTCACCCATTCTTACGTCTGGACTAAGACATAATCATAGACGCAAATTAAATAAGAAAGAGTAATACAAAACAAAAAAATTCTATTAGGAATCACCTCCCAGCGGATCAGCCTGTAACTAATTTCTAGTTCAGTTATGATTGCCTTCGTATGTCCATTTCTCCACCTTATTTAAACACGATGTAAGACTATACAGTAGAACGTCGAATGATTGTCGTGGAAAATAATGTGAAAGGAAGTGGAAGTGGCCTACTTTAGAGTACTATCCCTCAATCTCACTTTGGCTGACACCAGCTGAGTGTCGGTTCAGAAATGAATCCCTTACTTTAGGGCCGTGGGTATGATGAAGAGTAGACCTTAAGCTGTTTGCTCCGGAACTTGAAAGATGTAATCGCTTTATATAACACTAACTGGCTCAGGATACGACATAATGACAAAGTTTTGTGAAGAAGTTTAATGAGAGCAGAGAATTTCTCTCATCTGCAATGCATGATACATGTCACGCAGACCTCATCCTCGCTGATTTGGTCACACTATTAGCAGGCCTGTGTGAAGAATGAAATTACGAAGTTCTTTAATATGTAAATTTCTTCAGTACTTGATTACTAGCTCTTAAACAGATTTAAAGCTGATGATCTCTTTCGGGAAACGGTAACCTCTCCTACCACCGCTACAGACGTTTATATTTTCCGTTGGAAAAATGCAGAAAATCTAAAACGTTTTCATTGCGATGAAGACGTCGAGGTTGATTTTGCTCGGCAGTAACGCTGTGTGGACTTGTATATAAATTTGCAGGAGTGCCAAAACTAACAACGCTGTGATTTTCAATAATGGGTGTTGGCTATGCAAAATTTACCACATAAATGTTAAATGACGAGGTCCAGCTTCTCAAACTTATTGTATTTAATGTATTCTGAATGTAATTTCTCTGAAATTTCTTTTTATCTTTGTAGAAAATGGTATAACAGTTGTTCGATTTAGGGTAGTGGTAGTTACGTGTGTCTTAGCTGTGAAGATAACCGCCAGTCGTGTTGCAGGGCGTTCAGCAGTAAGTCCAGAGGTAAGTACGAAGTGTTCTAGGAATAACTTCTATTCAGGAAATAGTTTAGAGAAAGAGGTGACATTCCAATCTCAGTGTCGTGTTAATACATCAGTGTTATTAGTTAAATTTGGTAGATTAAGTAATTCTCCATGACTGCGTAGGCTAGCCAGTGAATAAACAACCAATCCAGTGTATCTGTTATGACGCCAAGATGAGTATTACAGAAATATTTGGGACCGGGTGTAATTTCAGTTCAAGAGTAGAGTATAGTAGAGTAGAGTAGGGTAGAGTAGAGTAGAGTAGGGTAGAGTAGAGTAGAGTAGGGTAGAGTAGAGTAGAGTTTATTTACATTCCATAGATCCTTCTTAGGACTCAACCAAAGGATGTAGAACATGTCATTTCATAACTTCCAACACAAGTACAAGAACGTATTTCACATATCAATGTACATAAATTTCAGATTCTGCAATACAAGTATGAAAAATAATTTTACAAATTAATATACATAAACCTCAGAATTTTAAATATAAATACAAAACTTGCTTTACATATAAGTAGATTATGGATATAAAGCTTGAACGTTTTCACCAGAGATGAAATCATCTGCAGAATAGGAGTGAGTAAAGAGGTAATCTTTCAATGCAGGCTTGAATACGTTTATATCATAATTTAGACTTTTAATTGTTGGTGGAAGATTATTAAACAACTTGATACCTGTA